GTAAACAAACATTGAAAAACCCGTGCCAAGGGTAATGACGTCATTACTAATGTCATCCCCGCCAATCAGCATTTCGCACCGACTTTTTCGATGCAGATATTCAAATTCCAAAGACGTGGTTGCAAGGTCTCCTTCCTTTTCCCGCCCCGGAGAGGTTGCTCGCAAGCTATTTACGAAGGTAGCCACTGTTTTAGAGTGTGAACATAATAGCTTCACTTGTAAATTACACTCGTAAAAGTTTTATTAAATTAACCCCAGGAGTTGGTCGCTAACGGGAGAATTCGACTATAATATTTTGATAAGAAAAAAATAGTTTTGGTATACTGATAATGTAGTCGCATGTGGCAGGTGGTCTCCACTGGAGGGTCAACTCTATTTAAGATAACAACAATCATTTTTGTCCAAATGTCAACAGAGAACCTTAAAGTGTCTATTAAAAAAAATGTTTCTGTTAAATTTGAATGGAGGAGCGAGGGTGGCGCAGTGGTGAGAGCACCAAATCCCGGCGTCGACGCCATATGTGGGTTGAGTTTGTTTTTGGTTCTCTCCCTTGCTGCTCCGAGAACTTTTCCCTCGGGTTCTCCAGTTTCTCCTCTTCTTAAAAACCAACACTTCCAAATTCCAATTCGACCTGGAACGCACGGACACGTCTCCACAGGCTCTAAAGAACTTTACAATTTTCCAATTTACACGTGACATACATACCCTGACGGATCATCGTCAAATGCAAAGTGGATGGGATTCTGTCCCATGTTGCTTAGCAACAGAGTTCTGTATGAAACAGCATTCACTGTGACAGCTGGGAAGACCTGTTATTACACAGAGAGAAGCCTTCAGACCTGGCTGTTAGAGCGTCACATTTTACAAGCAAAGACATTACTCTTTTTACTTAGCAACAGTTTAACGTGCAGTTTTCTATTAAGGATTCCGCTGCGGGTAAAAGGTCAGGAGGGGTAAAGGTTACTTATTATCGTGAGAAGACAAAGAACATCAACTACAAAAAAAGACTTACCAAGTGCTTGGTATCAAATTGACTTCTAGGAATAAACGTTTCAGTGCCTAATGCAAAAGTGTGCCCTAAAAATAAAATACCTGTTATTAAAACTTATCTGCTGAAATGACATTTGCCAATAGATTGCATTTTTTTAACGTCGGTTATTATGTTCAACGCAGAGGAACGCAATCCTAATACAGATAGGAGTGAGGTTGTATGGGGCAAACGTCGTTGATGGAACAGATCTTGGGACAACTACCAGGCACCCCAAAGATTTTGCAGAGGCGAATGACATCATCGCCAACTTGCCAATAGAGAGGGAGACTGGGTTCTCGATCAGTCGAACGCACGTGATCTTTGATTATGACTACTTGTTCTTAAGACTGTACAGTACTACATCATTTCTTGACACTGTTGTTCAACTGGCTAAGATGGAATATGGCTAAGAACGTGCTTAACCCAGTTGTAATAAGCAACCCTTATACTTTTTAGCAGAAAGGTCAAGAAACAACGTTGTTTAAGAATAGCAAAACCTTTACATAACACAATTTCTTTAGCCTGCGCCACAGATGAAACTAAACTCTGGTTAATTCCGTCTGCGAAACAGCGCGGAAATCCTTGTTCTGGGCCCTCACCTAAGTACCAGGATTTGGGTATGCGCCGTGATTGGTCTGTTAGAAAAGCCATTGTCGATTTGCCAATCAAGGTGAAAGGAAATTCGAATTCACTTCCGGCAATTCGCTGAGTCCATCCGTTCGCAGACGTTACTAACCGAGGTTAATTTACGCCTGCGACGCAGGTTAAATTTCTTAGAATATTATAAATGAGTTTTAACTCAGGGGGATAAAATCAGCTGGAAAACAAACTTACTGAGAGTCACGAGTTTGGGCGTTTCAGTTTATGGTTCAACAGCCTCATGGTCTATAAAGAGACAATGTTACAAACCTGTTGTGTTTAACGTCAAGCACCAAGGGGGACACATGGTAGCATCCTCAACAAGCCGATAATCTCTCATACTCTGCAAAAAAACACGAAAGTAGTAATGTTATGTGAAAGTAAGCATGAGCAATCACGAAAACCCAATTGAATATTGATAATTGACTGATCACTGTCCTGGGCCCAGTTGTTCGAAGGCCGATTACCACTAACCCAGAGTTTAATTTTAATCCAAATTTCTTTTTCTTCCTGTCAAAAGCATTTTCTCGGACAATTTTCACCATTATAGAACATCCAATCAAAGAATTAAGCTAAATTTGCTTTTTAAGCTTTCATAGCTAAATTAAAATTTCGCACTAACGTTGGGTTAGTTTAACCCAGCTTTGAACAACCTAGCCATGGTTAACCTCCCACACTGGCGTTCTTTTGGCCCGTCACGCAATCCTCGTTACAGGAACGCGTGACAAACCCCTATGAACGTCTGCGTGGAAGGTGATGTCCTGGTTTGTTCGACTGTTAAGTAATCATCTATACTGAACACCAACAAAGTGCACGAATTGACGAACCAAATGATGTGGTGATGATCGGGGTTCTTTGTCCTTACAGTTATCACAGATCTGGCATTTATAATTACCTAGATTATTCCTTTACCTTGTAAAATGCATAGCATTCCAGATCAGCACTGAAAAACTGATTTGCAGCATTCTAAAACAAAAAAGAGATAATGGAAAGAAAAGATTAATATGTTATACAGTCCAAGCCACGGTAAGTAAGTGTACATCCCTGAGATGTCCGGAAAAATTCGGGCTGTAACTGGAGTTGAATAGGTAGCCGTCGGACGCTTCGTTCACACGAAACCCTATCAGGGTGCTTAAGCAACGACGACGGCGACGTCAACGAGAACCGCATAAAACTGAGCAATAGGTTTCGATTGGCAAAACAACAACTTTGCACGTGCATCACGCTTTTTTGTACATTTCTTTGCCGTCACTGCACGACTACCACGTGAAAATGCCTAATTTTGTGGAGGACGTGTACACAAGGCAACGACTTTCTTCTTTTTTTTCTGAACTGCGATACAGTCTATTGGAATTCAACTCCAGAAAAAATTGCCAACATTTGACGAATTGAACGAGATAGAATAAGCGCGATAAAGTTTGAAGCAGCGCGACTTCATTTTTTTTAAGTGACGTTTTCATAGCCGTCGCCATCGTTGTTGCCTAAAGGAGCTGTGTCAAGAAATTAGGCCAAATTAGGCAATTACAAAATGCCCGTTAAATCCAAGGGAAACATAAAAATAACTGCTTAAAACTTTAAAGGAAGGTTAAAATAACACAACAGATACAACAGATGCCACGGATGGGCAAAACTGAAGAAGATTGAAACGGATTAAAATTAGGGTTTTTTAATACTGTTTAGCCGTGACATAAACTCCCTATTGTTCGCGCACGGGATTTTGTAAAGGAAAGAAGAAGAGGCTAAATTGTACTCAATACTCACAGGTCTAAACGTCAATCTGAATGAAGCGGTTTTTAAAGGTAGAATATCACACTCCTCAGGTGAGACAGAAAATATTCCTTTTGTGTCTGCAACAAATAAAAACAAAGAACCTGACGTTAAAAAAAAAAATTAGAAAGCTTAAACTAGTAATAACCAAATGTTAGTGAGTACGAGCGAGTTACAGACTTCTGACAGAAGGTCAAAACGCTCTTGCTTCAACGTTGGTGCTTTGCGTAAGTTTCACGTGATAGAAGGTCAAAACGCACGTGATCAGGTTGCGTTCTTTGCATTCCATTCATTCTTAGTCGAAGTCCAAACGAATGCTGGCTACAAATGTGCCAAACATACGTAAGAGCACCCTGGAGATTGAGATTACAGGCTCCTCTTGTCGCCTTTAATAAGACCAAAACTAAGCCAAGACGTACCTTTCATCCACATACAGGTTATCTTTCCTTTTGTATGATTTGTGATGTTGACTGTCTGCAAGCGAAAGAGCATCTCCAATCAAAATCATGATATTTTCAATAAAACACTAGGTGCATGCTCACCGTTTACACAAACTACCCGCATGAAATCTTGCGGATAAACACAAAACTATAAAATTTGACGCGGTGGGGGAGGTCAAACGACCCTGAAGAGTATATCCACATCAGCTGAACAGGACTCAAGTAAAAACAACTGAAATCACAGCCCAAGTTTTCTGACGCTTCTCAAACGGGAAGGTGCGAAACATTTGATTTACAACTTGAATTTCCGGTTTTCCCATGATAAGTACCCAGCGGGAACATTTTTCCGGACAAACAGATGTTCCGCTGCTCCCGGACATTTTCCGCTGGAAAGACCACAAAAACGTGTTTCATCTCTTTCCAACTGGATTTATCGTTCACTTTTGGTAAATGGTAAGTACCCACTGTCCCTAAAGCTACCCGTAGAGAAAAGAAAAGAACTGTACCTTTTGGGCCACTGCGTTGGGATCCTGTAACTGTCCAAAGTCTGCATGGTGAACATCTAAACTAACATGAGGAACGACTGCAGTCTGGAATCAAGTATAACAGAGGTGGTCAAAGATATAAAATGTGGAGATATGAAGACCTAGTGGACCTCACATCAGGTGGGCTGGGATCAAGCCTTGTGATCACGTTGTTTCTGTAAAGGTAATGGTAAAATACGGCAGAGGGGTAATCCTGCGATGGACTACAATCCCCCCCGGGGGGGGGGGGGTACTCCCTCTAATGGCCTGTACGGAGAAGCCCCCCCCGAAAGGGGTATCGTTTTCAGGCTTCAGTTGGGATTTCAATAGTTGAAGTATACAAAAAGGAGGGGAAATCTGTCATTTCGGTCTGTAAAAGGGCCCAAAAGGGCTAACAGATGAATTTTACGGCTTTATAATGTCGAGAAAACGTTCAATTTTTGTGATTGATTCCCATTTAAAAGACAGTGCATTTGCAGCAGTTAAAAGGGATGCAAAGTTCTAAACAAGTTATGTGAAAGGGGGGTACCATTTGTCAATAGAAGGTATAGGTAAGGGGTGCGTTTTTCGGGAAAAATGGTATATAAAAGGGTAAGGGGGTTGGACTCGAGGCGGAGCCTCCCGGTATAAATATTTGTTGAGTACCCCCCCCCTGCTGCAGGCTACAATCTTAGACAGTTTCATCGTATTGTTTCCGTAAATGTAATGGCAATATACTGCTGGTGGTATCCCTGTGATGGATTACAGTCGTTTAAACAGAATGGAGTGGAAAAGCAAACTCCTCTCCCTCCAAAATCATGCGAAGCTTGGTAAAAGCAAAAACGCGCCATTTTCAGGCCTCATTGGCCTGAAAACGAAACGCACTCTTTTCAAAGATGTACAAATGGAGACGAATTACCAACAGGTAGAGTTTGAGTAAGCTCTAATTTATAGTTTCCTAGCACTTACAGTTTCTCCAACTGAGGCATGACAAAAGAATTCCTCCATAGGAGACAGATCTGACATGGTTGGTAAGACAACAACAGATGAAGAGGTCTGTAGTAAGGTAAAAAGTGATTCTAATTAATAACAAGAAAGTAACCTAACTGGTCAGAAGTTAATCAAATAACGGTGTCAAACTTGAAAACATCGGCCTTAAGTTTTAGCTGACTTCTTTCCTATCTATCCCTAGCTGGGAATACAGCTCACTCTCATTGCTTCCCTTCGCCGTTAGCGTTTTCCAAGATTTTCCCAGAGACAAGGAGCAATGTGAGGCTGCTTTATTCACAGGATAATATTCCAATAGCACCAAATATTGATGACAGTGCTGTTTAACCCTTTCACTGCCAGAGTGAATAATGGAGTTTTGTAAGGTAGCTCTAACTTTTGTGGCTGTGGACAAAACCCTATGGAGTAACCATTCAAATGAAACCTCTCTACCTGTACTTATACATGGTGCTATTTGTGTTTCAAGATTTCACAAAATGAAATTTGGGATTTTTTTGTCGAATTTTACCTTTGGCCACATTTGGCAGTGAAAGGGTTAAAAACAGAACAATGTGATATGTCGATACCAACCTCCACTGCCATCAGTGCTCCATCTTCATCAAGCTGGAGTTTGCTTGCCTTCAGATCTTCATTGAGTTGCTAAAAAAATGAAAAAAAAAAAGATTTAATATGAACAAAAGAATCTTCGTATCAAAAAAATTCAGCCACTGTGGCAATACAGAGCTACTGAAATCAAATGTCATTATAGTGATGGTAATTACCTCAGGTGAGATTCTTGACAGGCCACGCCTAACATGAGTTTGGTATTGATCCAGATGCTTCTTCTGAAGAACAGCTAAATTGAAAAGATAGCAATAGAAATAAATAATCACAAGCCTTTTTCAGCTCCTCACTCCATGGAGCTTGAATTTTATGTCAAGAACCAGTCCAGTGTATTAGCCACTAAAAAGTGTTTGACACACTGCACCCTTAACATTTCATCGATCTCCATAAGTATGAGTATCACTGTGATTGGAACCTTTGGAAAAGAGCACCAGAAGTCTTTATATGTGGAAAAAGAGAAGGTGACAATTGGGTTTCCAAAGATGGCAACTGGAGGTAAGACAAACATGTTTTACCAACTGCATTCGGAAGCTTAGGCAACAACGACAGCGACAGCAACCAGAACAGGAAAAAAAGCAATAGATTTAGATTGACAAAACAACAACTTTGCACGTGCATCACGCTTTTTTGTACATTTCTTTGTTGTCGCTGCATGACTAAAACGTGAAAGAGCCTAATTTCACATTTCGTTGAGGACAGGACCACAAGACAAGGACTTTCTTTTTCTTTTCCTAAAACTTTGATACAGTCTTTAGAATTCAACTCCAGAAAAATTTGCAAACATTTGACGAATTGAACGAGTTGGAATAAGCGCGATAAAGTTTGAAGTAGCGCGAATAAACTTTTTCAGTGAAGTTTTCGTTGCCGTCGCCGTCGTTGTTGCTTAAGTTCCCTACTTGTTAACTGGCAGATGGGTGCTTCGAAAATCACGAGGAGCTCACATGCCTTCCTGGGCCACAGTCCCTAAATGGAGACCACTTCCTTCATTGGCAAATCCAGGCATTCCATCAGGTATGAGTCCTCATTTAGCAGGGAGCTGAGGACAGGCAACTGTTACCCTGACAAAGCACTGGAAAGGGATGAGAGGCAACTAAGATGGCAAATAGCAAGGTGGTGAATGACATGCTCATGACCACTGCTGATACATTCACTCCAAAAGCGAGTGGAATCCTGGTTCTGGCATACAAGCAGTACTGACAGCTGTTCAATCCCATCATCATCATCATCATCATCATCATCATCATCATCATCATCATCATCAACATCCGACCCTTTATGTCGAGATGCTCTAAACAATGATCTTATTCCATGCATTCAAGTTGGACATTGCATTTTACAAGTTCCTCCCTGTCAGTTCTGGAATCCCTTGAGATCATATCTTGGAATGACATTTTCCTTTCATGAACAGCACCACTTGGTTTCCATAGAAGAAGGGATTGAATGATCTCGCCCTTTGCTCATTGTCAATGAACAGCAAAATGGAGATGGCACTTTTTTTACAGCTTTTGCACTGTAGCAATGTACCACATTATAAAACAGCACATCCAACCTTGCTGAATATTGCTGACACTAGGAACAGTTCAGAAACACATCTCACCTCATTATATCAGAGTACAAAAATAAGGAGATATCAGATTGAAATGGGAAGCAGTAAACATATATAAATATTTGAATCAATTTAGGCTTCTGGGGAACTGCCCACCTACCCCTCCCCTAAGCCATCATTTTGCCTTAAGTGAGAAGTAAGTGTTAACGTTAGCTTAGGGGAGGGGTAGGTGGGCAGTTTCCCCAAAACCTAAATTTATCCAAATATTTTTTCTATACCTGGCTTGACTTGCTCAGTGTGGCAGGTTCCAAACAGATCAATGAAAAGTGGGTCCTAAGTGCAAACAACGTTTATGACAGAAAGTTCAAATTGATATAAACCATTGTTAGTGAAATCTTAAAACAGCTGAGGTAGATTCTCTGGTAGCTTCCCACACTAATGTTCATAGGGGTTCGTCACGCGTGACGAACCCACCCGTGAGAACGTCTGTGTGGGAGGCTAATTCTCTGGACCATTTCATGTTAAAAATATTGCAAACAATATTAATTGTTTTCAACTTTAAATGAAACAGTTTAACATAGCCACATTTACTTAACTACTTGTGAGGAAGTGATAATTATCAAGTGTTTTGATATTGGGGCTGAACCATCTAGGCTCAAGCAGCCTCGAATACACTGGAAGTATCAAGTAGAGCATCACTTCTATTCAGGGCCTGGTTCTCTTGGTAGAAATCAATCCAAACAATCTCTTAAACCACTTTAAAAAAAATGGTAAAAAATGGTTAAACTTTAGACACTAGATATGCGAAAATTTTGAAGCTCTGGGTATCTAGGGCCCTCTTGGGGGGTTACAAATGTCCAGGGTTGTCATTAAGAGCCGGGGGCCGGGGATTTTCCCCGGCTACTAAGAGAGTGGCCCCCGGCTACTTTTATTGGAAAATAGAAGAAAAATAGAACCAAAAGAAATCGCTAGCCGTTTGATTCCCCGCCAACTTGTTGTATTTACCCGGTAACTTGAAATCTTAGTGACAACCCTGAATGTCCCTAGTCTGAATTTCAAAAACTGTCATTTTGCATGTTGAGGGTATTAATTGTGCTCTATTGTCTTAATTAATCTTCATTTTTCCTGTGACACTTTTTTTCTTTACATTGCCCTAGTTCTTTCATCCTTGGAAAAGCAAAGAGCTATCAAAAGTTTTCGGATCATTATAATGTTTCTGGGAAACTGCCTACCTACTCCTCCCCTAAGCCAAAATTAACGCTTACTTCTCACTTAGAGCAAACTGTTGACTTAGGGGAGGGGTAGGTGGGCAGTTTCCCAGAAATGTAAAATAATCCAAGTTTTCTCATATCCAGTTTCCAAAGTTTTACCGTTTTCCCTATGCCTATTCCCTTGATAGATGAGTATCTTCAATCAAAAACATAGGTGAAAACTCTGTTGACAAAGTTACCTGATTTTGAACAAGACAGGTTAACCTCCTGTAATAATTGATCGGATTTGTTGGTGCAAATCGTATAACAATGGTCTCTGATCCTTTACCAGACAGTAAACCACATGCTGTCTCCAGCTTAAAGACACTTTGACTGCAATCTATCATGAACTGTTCAAAAAGAAAAAAATATAATGTTACTAAGACATAGCTGGAACAATGTAACAACTTACAATTTATTATAGTTTTTTTATAAACTAAGGAAAGAGCTTGGTTTGAAAGCCAAAAACGAAAAAAAAGAAAACCTAAATACAAAACGACCAAAAACCCCCATGCACCCAAAATGAATGATGACAATTTTGATGTCTTAAATGAGTCCATACAAATGTATTTACATACAGTCTAGAGATGAAGTGGTAAAAGTTCACAATCCACATCAGTATAGATGTATTTTGTATCTATACTTACATAAATACCAGAGATGTAATTAACATCTCTTTAGTAAAAAATAAATCACTCCAAGATTCACCATTTATTATTACCAACTCCTTTGCACACTAGTGTTTTTGCCTTTAAACCAATCAAAATTATTCTATTTGTTTAACATGACTTACTAAGTCTTCAAAACACTGTAGAATAAGAATAATTTTGGAATGATTGATAGGAGTGGATTCTGTTAGCCAAGTGTTATGGTATTCTTAAGCAGTGATGCCAGATTTTACAGTCTCTGTAAAACTAACACAGTGCTCAAAACAATAAGATTCAGACACTGAACGTCTACCTGATAAGCTGCAGGAACGTCACTGTTATTGAAAATCTTAAAACTTTTAGCCACAAATTTTCCAGACTCCACAACTCCCATATCGAGATAATCGCTGTCAAGAACAACATCTGGTCCTGTCAAAATTTTAAGCAAATACCAAGATGAATATCAAGCACCACTTCTGCTTTCTCACCAAAAAAAGACTGCAAGCAACTAAGTAATGACAAAAGGAGAGAAAGATCTTTGGCAAACGCATGTAAAAAAACATACGTTAAGGTAAGTCAAAGTGGTTGAACTAGTTGGATGTAATGTTGAACAGCCTCCCGTCAATGGCCATCAAAATGTTAAGATTTGATGGTTACTTGTGGGAACTGGATGCTTAGAGGATAATTATCGATTAACAGTACTTTGACTGAAAAAATTGAGTTTGGTGCTTTGAACGGGTGATCGTGGTCACAAATGGAGAGAGGGAAAGGTGGATATGTTACAGGTCAAAGCTGACTTCTGTCAGGTAAAAAAAAATTTTAACCAGAAAGAAGTCAAATTTGACCTGTAACAGAAACAAGCAACAGGTACAACATCATGCAGGTTAGGTCTGGGATATGGACAAAAGGGACATTTTACCTGCAAGATAGGATTTAGCCATTAAAAATACTCTACAGAGACTTAATCACCTTTCCCCACTCCAGTGCACTTGATGACAGAGCAGTTCGTAGCTCCAAGAGCCATAATGTCCAGATAATCCACAGACTGCAAGCGAGGATTTTGAGGAGTAAAACACACCTGTGAAATGAGAAAAATTAGAAAATATATAGAAATGTTTGGAAAATCATCAATGAGATGGAGTATTAGGCAAGGATATTTCAGGATGCCACCACTGCTTCCACTCGAAATGATGACTGAGGAATGAGCGCAGAAATTCCACACTGAAGATGTGTCACTACCCAGTTCTGGATAAAGAGTCATTTTCTACTCTCTTTCCTCAGACATCAACCAGCCGTGCATCACAAAATGTCTGTTGTTTTCTCAGGCTGCATTTCCCCCCAATTTTTACTCAGTCAACACACAATATAAAAAAGCTCTATTTTTACCTTGAGTTTTATGGTGCTTTCTGCTGGTACAACACCATGATAATGAGAGCATGAAAACACTGTATCAACATTAGTAGCAGCTGATGGCTGAAGTACTTGGAAAGGTGCGTTAACCTGTTAACAACAAATAATTCATTTAATTAAATATGATGTCAGCCAACTTGATTGTATCAAGATTGATACATACTAGCCTAGGTAAGAACAGTTTTGTGAGTTTTTGGAACAATTTCATTAAAATTCAACTTATTTTATTCTCAGGAGACAGGGTGTCTGTTTCTTACAATATATTCAGACAAATACATGTATAATGTAGCAGCAACCTCAAGAATATAATCTTCATCAAAAAATTTTTAATAAGATGATGAATAATAGACCTTGCTGTGTGAAGTGAAATAAAAAAAACTGTCAAGGCCATTCTACAGCGTAGTACACTACAAAGAAGTGTACAATGATATCATGCACATTTCTGAAAATACAGTAAAGCTCTCATGAGCCAAAACCCTCGGTACGCAAAAAACCAAGTGACTGGAGCTGGCCACTTGCAGGAATTTAAAAATACAGAGCTTGTATGGAAGTTGAGAAAAACAGGGTTTTATGAAGGCAGCCGTTATGAGCTGTCTGCTTACGAGAATGTAAAAGCTTCAACTGAATACATGCATAGCACAAGGGAAGTGACAACAACATATCACAGAGTTTAATACTGTACTTACTGGTGAAACATTATGAAGCTCAATCCACTTGCTAGCACTGGTTTGAACAGGTACTTCTCCAAAGTTTAGTTCAACTTCACCATCACTCGTTAACTTTGAAGTTTCCTTAGACCCTGGAACACTGGCCATCAGGTGAGGAAATTTACCTGATTGAGTTTAAAAAGCAAAGTTTAGGAATCCTAACAGCTTTAAGACAATCCAGTTTAATTACTTAGTTACACTGTTAGCAATAGTGTATGTTTAGTCTTTATGAACGTTAACTTTTTTTCTAGATGGGATGAACTGATCTATCTCTTCCCTAATCAAATGAAGGGATTATTATTGCTGTTTTTATTTTATTCCTTGAATACATTTACCCTTGAAAAAAGCTGTTTTTTAACTGAAATGAAATGTTTTTAATTCGAATAATTTTTTTCAAATGAATTATTTTAATCGATTAGTCAAGCGTTTTTTTTTTTACAGTCGAAAGGGATTGTAATAAGGCTTTGACTGAATAGTTTTTTTAAGTGAAAATAATAATAATGATTACTGAAAACAGGATTTTATAGTTAGCTTTGTTATCAATGAAAGATTGTTAATTTTTAATTTAAAAAATGTTTATTATTATTATCTTTATTATTATTATTATTATTAAAGTTGGCAAAATAGAGCTTTCACTGGACAGCTTTTTTAAGCAAAATATTATTAATAATAAAGCATTTTTATCAATAAACAATTGTTATTAATTATTATGATTATGATTTATGATTATGATTTTTATTATTATTATTATTGTTATTACCTATTCCTTCAATTCTCACATGCTTTGTAAAAGGTGTCTTTTGACCAGCACAGTAAGTACATATTGCAATAGCTTCATACACCAGTGCTGCCTGGAAAAAAAATGAACATGACGGGATATGTTAATAATTTGTACTTATTGATGAAAACAAAAACAGAGAAAAGGAAGCTGACTTTTACAAATGTATACAAGTATACAAGTAACCTTCTAAAGAAATGCTAGTTTCTCATTATAATTTGCCTTGTATATGGATTGCTTGAAAATCACAGGGAGAATTTGTGAGGGGCCTGTTGGAGCCTTGTTTCAGGCACTCTTTTTACCATAAAGAGAGGGCAAACGAATCCATTTCTTAATTCAAAGAAATCTAATTAGTCTGCTATTCAAAGTACCCACAAAACATAAAGGTAAAATAAGCAATCCCCCAAAACCAAGTAGTTTGAAAGATGATTAGTGCAGTTCCAAGATGGATCAGTTACCTAACAACTGACAAGTTCTGTTTGCAGTGTAAAAGAAGATAACACTTCAGCCCAGAATGGTACACTACATCAGTTACAAATTACGTAATAGAACTGGAGGGCTAGAGTAACAAACATTAAATTTTACCATTTTCATCTATGGTATTTCTTTAGAGATCTTACCGTGGGGCAAAATGATGCTTTGATACTGCATGAAGTTCTTGGAGCCATGGTTCCACTTTCTGGAACAACAGAAAATGGTTCTAACACCTTCCACTGGAACTTTGTCACAAGGTCACTGATCAAAAGAAGCAGAAAAAAAGGAAATTAATATGGAATGAAAACAACATGTTGCAGTGTATTTCTTTCAAATGTTAACTTATTCATTAGATGACAAGCCTGCGAGCAAGCTCTCTGGCATGCTCTGGTGGGGGGGTGGGGAAGGAAGGAGAGCTTGCAACTTCATCTTAGGAATTTGAATATCTGCATTGAAAAAGTCAATGCGAAATGCTGATTGGCAGAGATGACATTAGTAATGACATCATTACTCTTGGCACATGTTTTTCAAAGTTTGTTTACATTTGCGCTCTTCCACTTCATGCTGATCGGTGGAAATCTGACAGCTGAGTCCACAGGGAGGCACAGGGGAATTGGAGGTGGAATTCAAATTCCAGAGATGTAGTTGCAAGCTCTCCTTCCTTTTCCCGTCCCATCGTGAGAGTGGCCCAGAGAGCTTGCTCACAGGCTATTAGCTGACAAAATATTCCCCCCAAATTTCAACTTGTCCCCAAAAATATTTTATTTTATGCTTTTTAAAAGTTACTTTCCTGTGTTAATTTTCCCCTGGAATTATTTACCTTGTGTTTGTAATCTGGAATACAACTTCAACACAGTCCTTCACTGCACACATGCCAAACTTCAAGGAATCTGGTACGGCTATATCTGCCTTTGGCAACACAGCTTTCATGGGAATGGAGAAAACTCCTTCCTGAAATAGAAGAATGAGACTTGTGGCTTACTAACAGTGAAAATACTTACAACCAATTGTTTCCCTTTTTATAATAACTGTAAATAATTTGTCCACAAACCTATAGAAAGTAGAGATGAGATAAAGATTCGACATCTTATTAACGTTATCCAGTTTTGCCTTAAACCACACTCTAAGCTGGATGTTGTTTATTAATAAATAGCTTGTCTTTAGAGTTCAGACAGCCAGAAGAAAGAGAGAAAATTTCTCAATTGGTTCCGACTCCATTAAATCCTATACCAATGGTAGAGGATTTAATATTATTGTAGAACATTTTAGGAGGAGCTACCCACAATGTGAAGACAGTTACTGACAAAGCCTATGAGTAGGAAAACAGATCTATTTAATGAAAATGCATCTCAAAAGCATAAAGCTTGATGCCATAGAATTAAAGGAATTACTTGGCATTAATAGAGCGGTTTTCACTTGACTGTCGAAAGGGATTGGTTTTGGTTTTGGTTTTGGTCTTACTACGCCCTTTGGTTGGCTAGTGTATTTACTTTGGTTTTGGTTTTACGACAGTCAAGTGAAAACCGCTCTAACAGGTATAGGTAAACAATGACTAAACTCACATGTGTTTCGAATTCAATACAGTCTTCATATTGTCCCTGCAAACAGAAATACAGAAAACATAATTATTAAAATTTATCATTCAATTTTACCTACTCATGATCAGCTGAAATAATATTTTTAACCAGATCTACAAATTGGCCCGTGGCGAACATTAGAAAATACTCATTGCATACCTTGCACTACTTGACAACAGGGATTTATTTATAGATTAAATAGGTACCTTTTCAAGAGGTCTGAATGTGACAGGTAGTGTAAAGCTTGTACCAGAACTCAGAACAATCGGCTTGGGATAAAGTGTCGTAAAAAATCTACTTGATGGAGACCTAAACAAAGACATAAAAAGAGGTTTAGAAAGTGTTTTTTTAAACAACGATCTAAATATATTTTCCGGAGTATTATTGAGTCTACAACTACTAACAGCGAGATCTATCTGGGTGCTTCAAAATAGCTTGTCAGGTACAATACTGAACATCCTGTGAATGTGTTGTTACATTTTTGTCCAAATAATTGTGTTCCACAAATCCTTTGACAAAACACCGCAGTTTTTTGAAAGCAAATACTTACTTGTACTGCAGTTTTTGTGTTTTAATCTGTACATTTTTTAGTACAATTTGTTGAGTGTATTCTCCACCAGGTTCCCATCCCTGCCATGTAACACTGTCGGCAACCTCTATCCCAAAATGATTGACACTGCGCTGTGTTTGGACTGGCATGGTTAACTTTAACGCAATGGCTGAACAGATAAACAAGGAATTTCCATCAGTCAGCGATACAGTGATTAACAGTGCTGGAGTTGAAACAAAGAAGAACCTCAGTAACTGAACACTTCCAGTCAAACCAGGAAAACCGTGAACACCAGAAATATTTCTGGAATGTTATAATATAATATTGTGTTGCAAGAAAAAAGCCAATCAGGTGTGAGAAAACTAAACCAAAGCAAGAAAATTAATTAGTTTGTGGTTTGTGGCTTGCTCGCATGTCCTGATCTTTGCTGTGATTGGTCTTAAAACAATAAACACTCTTGAAATATTTCAAGTGTTCACAGTTTTCCCCGTCACACTGTAAGATGACTGACAATCAGCATGTCACAAATGTGGGTCAAACAAAAAATCTTGATTCCACAAGTCTCTGCATGGCTCAGTGGATAGAGTGCCTACTAAACGTTCAGGGGGTCATACATGTGGCACCAAATCCTGTTAGGAAGTCAAGATTTCTATCTTTTTCCCACGATCATGACATGCTGATCATTATTTAACCCATCCCTTAAACTACAAGAGTTCTTTTAAGAAAGAAATACAAGGGAACTCTTTACTGTCATATTAGACAGAAGTACTTTTAAAAAAGAATTACTGTACAACCAGTGTGATTGTTCAATAATGTCAAAATCTATTATTTAGCTTGTGTAATTGGGGTTGCTTGAGGTATTCACTGTGTTTGTGATTCAGTGAAAGTAGTAAGTTGATTTTGTACACAGAACGGCAATATTACTTTTAATTACACTGCAGCACATGTGCATAAAAAGCAAGATTGCTGTTACATGTATGAACAGATGTCCAACAAACCAGACAAACAAAGTCTGCAATTAACTTACAGAAATACTTTCCTTCTGTGGTATAGGTTGCTTTTACTATCATTAACGAATGGAGAAATAACTTCAGATTACTCTGCACGGACTATTTAGGAAAAGAAAAGGGTTTTGCCAAGGAAACATCACAGTGAAGCATTCAAGGCTGTCTCCTCACAGGAAATGGCATAGTCAAATAACCAATTGTAATTTCAGTAATGATTTTATGTGTTTGAGGAATCATAACCTTGGTTTGCCCAGGCTTCACCAAGTCATCATATCATTTTGTCAGGCACAGGAATCATAACCCTGGTTTTTAAAGGCTTTATGAAATCATTTGAGGAATCATAACCTGTGTTGTCATAGCTAAGAATCATAACCACGATGTTGCAAGACTTATTAAATCATTTGAGGAATCATAACCCCCACTATCGCATTGTTAAAATCAAAGTATCACTCATTGTAGCTTGAGAGTATACTGTCAGTGGAATCATACCCCCCCTCCCCAAATTAAAGAATTTCCCAAATCCTTTCATTCCAGATATGTGAATATACAGGAAATCATCACAATGATTTTTGCTTTTGTTTATTTGGGTCTTAAAATTATGCTCAGATACATTTTTTTTTTTTCAAACATTTCCCTTTTTAATAACAATTTGAAAAATGCTTGGTGAACTGAAGTAACATAAGCAAAATTCCAGAGTCTCCCCACAAATTGCACTGTGAAGTGTGCGGATCAAAAATAATCCAATATGGAAAAATAACAATACACAAGGAATCAGTGTAGATAACAGCTGTCCGAGAAAACGTAAGTTTAATGGCGATGTTATATATACAAAACAATGTTGTCTGAATGTTAATAAAAGATAATCAAGTTCGTGTTTAAATTAATAAACATTAATAGACCAGTGAAATCCAATTAATAATGAACAAATATCAATAAACAATGTAAAATAACAAATTTGTTTTTTTTTTTTGCTGCAATGCGCCAAATTGCGCGATTGTGGCAATCCTTACTATTGTGTGACAATGTTTGCGTTAATTGATTTGACTCAAGTTGAAACATTTTTGGTCGACCAAAGGGGAGAAATTGCTCCTTCGAGAAGGGATTTTTGACGAAATATACATGGAAGTGCAAAATCCAGAAGAACTTATGAAAGTGTTACACAAATGTACTTGATAATCCTTCTGCTAAAAGCCAGTTGAATTCATTTGTTGAGCAAGCAATTATATCATGTCAGAATTAGAGAATTAAATAGGAGATCAAAACATATTCCCCACATCCTCTTTTTAGACTAGTGAAATCCAGTATTTACTCCTTAAGCCTGACAATATCAATAAACAAATTCTGTGAGACTGATCATGATATCCCATACATCTCATTATAGAAAATTTGATAGAGGATCAAAACTTATTCCCTTCGGAGATGACTATTTCTATGAAAGTTCTCAGAACCTTCTCTCTTGATGACATATTGATATTGCCAGTAGGAACTGATTGACGTTCAGGGTCACTATTAGGAATTGTAAGGTTCAATACTTATATACATGTATATTATAAATTGTAACCACTTCTCTCCCAGAATGGCATGCAATTGTCAAAAGTATCTGACAAGATTTTTAAATTTCATTCTGTAAAGTGCTAAAAAAACAGATAGCGCCTAGAGTTATGCCAAAGAGGTTTCATTTGAATGGTCATACCACAGAATTTCATCAGCAGATTTTAAATCTAGTACAAGAGTCATTATTCATTCTGGGAATGAAGAGATAATTAATACATCATTCTGTTGTTGATCTACTGGTTTGTGTCAGTGACCTATACTAGCTGGAACACTACACTTTGTGTTTTAAATTTCACACAGCACAGTCTTTTAAAGACAACCAAAGAATAATTTAGACCGAACCTTTCAAATAAGATCCTTTAATGGACCAAAAAATGTCTATAATTTTTAATATTGCCAGACCTGCCAACTCTCACAATTCTGGCTTCAAAGACTCTCATGATTTTTCACTTGTCTCATGGCCCCGCAACAAGACTCCCAATCACATGTTTTTTGGGGGAGATATCTTTCTGAAACGAAATGTTACCTTGTTGAATATAAAACAGAAATTCTGTGGGGATGCTAGTGCCAGTGTTTAACCTTAATGGGGCTTTGTAACATTTTAGCCACGAATTGGCAGGTCTGTATTGCTATCTCTTACACATGTAGCCTCACTTACACTGTCCTTAATCAGTAAAATCTCCCTGAAAGAGAAATGGTGATGAGTCAACAGCCATAGATAAACTATCCTCGGTCTCCACCAGTGAGGAGCGCAGTGCCCCAGCAGCCACCATGAGGTTGCTGCGTTCACTTGATGGGCCCAAAGATAACTTACCTATGCTTGTTTGAGGCTTTCTAGTTAATGCTAGCCTGCCCCTCTTTTGTTGTGCACGTAAGGCTGCATCAGCAGTAGATGTTGTACAGCACCTCCGAGGGGTCAGACTAGCTGATGGAGCCTTAGCTGCTGGCAGTGGAACATTCTCTTTTGCCAGCTCCATCAGGTCTTTGACAGACACTTGCTGACTGGGTGCCTTATTACCACTAAGAAGAGCCAGCAGGCGACTTCCCCTGCGTTGATTTTCCCTGGCTGTTTTCCTGCCTCTCTCCAAACTGATCTTGCGTTTCAGGAGAAGGTCAGAGCGTGCATCCTCATCCTCAGAATCGTAAACTACCACTTCCTTTGCTTCCACTGGGGCAATCGTACTTCTCAGCTCCTTTATCTCTTCACTGCTCAACTCCTCCCTTTCCAATGCTTTCCTTACTTCCCTGTCTCTCTTTTCCTGGAAGTTAACATTTTGGTACATTTATGAGACATTGATTAATTGAAGCCATTGTGGAAAGAAAGGAACAGCAGTTTGTTAACAAATAATTATAATAGTTATAAATAATGATACAATAATAACAACTGGTCAGTGGCACTTCAGTAACTGTATAGCGAGGTTTTTCCAGAATCTATCCACATTCTTAGGATGTGTCCTTTGAAATGCATGGAATGTGACACCACAAAGGCCCTGGTCCATCTGATGTCAGTAATCACGTGAATTAATGCACATGCAAGTGATGCAACAATCATTAGTCAATTCGCAAGCACACGTAGTGTACACAAGTACATGTGCTAGGCACTTTAATAAGCTTACATTTATTTATGTGAATTCATTCAAATTTAATTTCTCACTAATCCCTGCGTTAATTATCTTAATCTGCCAGCTGTAAACAACCAGGCAGTGGAGAATACATTAATCCTGTCCCTCACTTGTCCTGGCATGAACACCCTACCTCGATATCCCTCCATTCACTTTCCCCTCATCTAAGCCATTTGAGTATGAAAGTAAAAAATATAGTATAATCCTACCATTGTTAGACGGTTCCTTTTGTTAAGAAACCGCTGTCTCCTTCTTTTTTTCTCCTTGTCTGCCTTAATTTGAGCTTGGTGTCTTTGACTCCTATAATATCTTTTAATCCTTTTTCCAATAATGCTTCTTGTTGGTAATGACACACCACTTGATGACATCATCTCTCTTACATACTCGACCATCTCAGTTCTCACAGAGTCTTGAACATCTGACCAAGGCACTGTTACAATTTTAAATTATTGCCGTTAGCACAAATAGAATTTAAAACAGTCAATACACCCCACTCGAGTAACATCAACTGATAATAAATTAAATTTAATATATGGACAATACGTGTTCCCAACTTCAATTTTCAAACTAAACACATACAATACATCCGACTTCTTAACTAACATTTAAGATGCAAATATTCTTTCAGGATTCAATTATACATTTGATTTCCTCCCACTATATCTACCGGTAATAAATTATAGGAAGAATAAGGTTGTCTAATTATACCTTCTCCTGGATTAATTTGATCCTTGAATTCAAATTCAAATGCATCTCGTATAATGTCCTGTGAAATACTTCAACAAGAGCATATCTGTTGAATTATAATTAAGTCAACATGTAATATGGAAGGGTCTCACTGTCTTACAAATCTCAGCCACATAATTTAATATATGTTGTGCTCATTATAAGTGGAAGGAAATATCACTGAGTCAATTAAATGGTTAATATATTTTTTGCGATATGTGGATCTATAGGTAGATTATGTTTTCCCTATTATTCAGATTTGCCTCAAAACCCAATATATGAAATAAAAATGCACCTTGTTCATCTTTTTTATTATTATTTTTGAAGCAATTAGGGTAGTAGTTTTTATGGTTTCATTACATTTTATAATGATATGAATATAAGATATTATATTAACCCTCGGACATACAAGCAAATTCATACCCCCACCATGGTACAAGGGGGGGGGGGGACTGGGTGGATGGAACCCATCCCCAGAGTTTTTGATACGTTGCAGTATTTTGTAACGATATTTTACCTTTGGTGGAAAGCCTTTCATCTTCTCTACAAGATGAGGTATATTTTATGGGTGGTGGTGCTGCTGGGGGCCTGTGACGTCACCAACAATGGTTGCCATCTTGGTTGCAATCTTGGATTTTACCAAGGATTAGAAATCAGGTTAAAATCGTGAGAAATGGTGATTTTTTTTGTGCTTCAGATGAAAAATAACACACAATTAAGCACTTTGTATGATTTTGGCCACAAGATTTAGTTATTTTTGAAAAAGTTGGATAAAAAATGTACTTTCACTCAAAAATGGCTTGACCACCTCTTACTTGATGTCATATCTCGTAACCATAGAAATGGACCATGACCAAAAAAATTAAACTTGACTCAAAATATGTGCGAGGGATGAACGAATAGCTACTGAAAAGATCCTCTGGGAGAAAACCTTATGGGCAGGGGGGTGGCATCCAACTCCCCGCCGTTGTACGTCCGCGGGTTAATGAGTTTTATAGATTTATTTTGTCACAAATTATTGAATTATTTATTAATTGGATTTTTGTATGTAAATTTGAAAATGTGTATGTACTGTAGTTCTTTGTGTCCGGGGGCGGGGGTACTGCCATATATGTGCTATATAGGTATGTGCCGCTGTGAAGGGTATGGTTTTCAAGCAGTTTACTCTAGGATAGAGTATATAAATCAGAGCGTTTGGGTCTAGAATAGGGTATCATTTTTCAGGAAACTGAGCAGTTGGTTGAAGATTTTATCTAGACTAGGTAAACAGCTACTCTAGGATAGGGGGATTTGGGGAGTTTACTCTAGTATAGGGTAGCAAAATTCAGCTGAACTAGCTCTGGTATAGGTTAAGGGTTCCAGGGTCCCAGCAGCACATCCCCACCCAGAAATTCCTAAAGTACCCCCCCCCCCCCCCGGGTTTGTGTTATACAAGGTTTTCAGTTCATAACATTTATTAATCTATGAAATAATGACAGAAGGACTTCAGTTGCAGACTGTAGAGGACCGAACTTTGAACAAGTGATTTTAGTGCCCTACCCGGCTCCAAAAAGCGCTCAAATTTGTGCCCCCAACTGAGTCAGATCAGTTACAGAGTTTATTTTAAAAAGTAGCTCACAGGATATATTAAAAGTGGATTGGCCATACACTACATAGCGTGAAAATCAAGTAAAATGTCCCGTCGAAATATACGTCTGAAAGATGCAGCTGACGTCAACAAATGTCCTAGTATATAGTTTTTTCCCCAAAAGCTAGCGTTTAAGTAAATTGTAACATTTGGCTTTTTACTTACCAGTGGTACAACTTTTGACGGTGCAGGTGACTAGAGGAAAACAAAAGGGAAGAATTTTTTGTCAATTAAGTGTTGTCATGAAACCACTTAATTAATTATCAAGCAAACCCGCAACAAAAACAACACACTTAACTTACGTGACTTTTCGCAATTGCTTGCTCAACAAAGGAATTCAACTGGCTTCTAGCCGACGGATTATCGAGTAACACTTTCATAAGTTCTTCTGGGTTTTGCACTTCCATTTTCCGCCAAAAATCCCCCTTTGAAGGAGCAATTTCTCTCCTTGCGTCCACCGAAAAATTTCAACTTGCGTCAAATTAGCGCAAACATTGTCACGCAATAATAAAGCTCGCCACATTCGCGCAATTTGGCGCTATCTCGCGAAAAAGGAGCACCAAAATATCCAGCAGATCGTACATGTATGACAAACCCAAGAATTAAATACAGATTATTTAAGTTAGTTCAGAATGGCAGATTATCAGACGTGTTTCTGCCCCGAATGCCGAGGTTGCTTGCGCTCAAGACGGACTGTTTTCAGACATCGGAACCTTTATGGATTAGATCGGTACACGGAGAACATCAAATGCAGCGGGCAGCCATCTAAAAAGCCAAATTTTCCAATTTAAGGACATCAGAGATACCAGGTAAGTCTTTTCTTCTATTGATAGCACTTTGTCGATTTAAATACATATGTATGCCGCGTAAATCTTCAACTGGGAAAACTTACTGGGAGAAGCGGATTTGGGACTGGACTTGAGGAATTTGGAATTCAAAATCGCGGATTTGCAATCAAGGAATATGGACCATTCGGCAAAATAAGTCAAAAAAAGTTAATTTAATTGGAAAAAGTAAATGGATTTGATTGAATTACAACGGAATTTTTAACTTCACATGATGGTGCATTTCTATTTTTTTTTTTTTTTGTATCTTATTTCTTCAAGATGCCGCTGGTCAGCCAGCTGGACATGACAACCCTCCCTCTATTGACATCAAATCTGGGTCATGTGAGGTGAATGTCACTAATGATGCTCACACTCTTACTGGTGAGTCACATCAAGAAGTACTTTTATTACAAGAAATGATTTTAGATTTTTCTAGAAAGTAGGTATGATAGAAGGGCTTGAATTCTCTTTTCCTGGACATTACTGTCAGTTGTCTTTGTGCTACTTTCAGCCCTGGATATAACACTAACTCTGGCTTCTGAAAGTCAGCAAATTGACTCCTAAATACGGGGAAGAGGAGGGAACTTCTCAGTTGTTTTTAGCATAAGATACAGAGGCGGATCCAGGATTTTTTTTAGGAGGGGGTGCACTCGTCTCTTTCTCTACTTCAACACCAATAAACTACATAGTTTTTTTTGCAGAATACCAGTTGCATTAGAAAACCGCAGGTCATCTCAGGGGGTGGGGGTGCACACCCCCTTCACCCTCCCCCTAGATCACCCCCGGAGATATATGTTACAAGTCAATCAAATTCAGCTGAAAAAATCTCAACCTAATATGATAGGTTGATTCTCAATTTCCTTTGTCTCCAAACCCTAATTCATGTGAATAATATTATTGGGGCTAGGAGACAAAGGAAACAGACAATATGTACCTAGATAGAAAAATTTAACCTGAACTTAATTTTGACATGTATTGTGTATACATGATCGTCAAAGAAAAAAGAAAGTCAACTTCAAAAGAGGCACAGTTTATATATTTTTTTTCATCTTTGGTCTTATAATTATGTATAGCCCCATTGGGAAAATAGAGTTTCATCCCCACTTAATACTCTTTATGCTTCTGAGACAGCAGTCACCATAGTATTTAGTTTTTAATTCAGGAATAAACACACAAAAACATACCGACACTATTTCCAAAGCTTACATTTCAGCTTTATTTTTTTATAACAGTCATATACAACATTTTTTATTACTTGCAAACTTAATCGAAAAACAATAACATTCAAGTTTGACTTGGTTATTTTAATGTTGCAATTAAGACCACTCAGTTTAATAATAATTAATTACTTATTAATATAATACATTATTACTCCTCCTCAAAATATGTTTTGTTTTCTACATTAAAAAATAATGAAAACATAGACTCATTGCTTGAGAACATCTAATTGCCAGTATTCTTAGCAGCCACCTTAAATGTTGGATTTTGTTTGCTCCAGGTGAAGTTCAAGGATCTGTGATAGACATGACATGTAGCAATAATAACATCAGTGCTGAGGAAACTAAAATGCAAATTTATTCAGGTATATTTTTTATCAATACCTTTATCATGAATTTTACTGAATCAAAACAACCTTACCAGTATATAGTGAGATAAATCTTAAAAGCAATGCCTATAATCCTTGCTAGTAGGAGAATTCCGATGTAAAAGTGACAGGCCAGGTATTATTTTGGGTGCCTTGAATTAGCCAAGGATTTTTTTGGGGTATCTTAAACAACGTTATTGGCGTATGGTAGTGCTAGTGCCACACGTCTTCTTCTGTTGGTTTTGATTTAACCTCTTTCAATTATCCCTGTCAATTTAACTCTGGGGTACTCTATCCTGGTGGTCATTGGCTTTGTAGTTAATTGCATGGCTATGATTGGATCGTCTGTAAGGATCAGTTAATGAATTAACTACAGGCAACATAACCTTCAATCACACAGATGTTAATGGGAAGAGGTGACACCACTTTACTCATCTCATAGTGGGGTCCTCTTCCTTGGGAGGAATAATTCCCCATACTGATTACAATTTTAACTTTTTTCAGGTGAAGATGGACTTGCTGACTCTGAAGAAAGTGACAAGGAAGATCAAGGGATTGCTGTCTTAAAAGGTATAATTTTTACTTTCATGAAATCTGTATCAGTTTAGAATTGAAATCAAAGTAACCCTCAATTTGTTTGGTAGACTTTAATGAGCATACACAGGGTTGTCACTAAGATTTCAACTTGCCGGGTAAATACAACAAGTAGGCGGGGAATCAAATGGCCAGGGATTTCTTTTGGTTCTATTTTTCTTCTATTTTCCGATAAAAGTAGCAGGGAAAATCCCTGCCCCGGCTCTTAATGACAACCCTGATACAGAACAGAGAATTAATACAGATGTTTAATGCACCTGTCCATGTAAAGCCTGAGGGGGGGGGGGGGGGTTGAGGAAGGGCATTGCATAAGGATTTGAATGTTTTCTGTTGGCCCTGGAGTTAAGCATTTGACTAATGTTCTTCTGGGGGTGGGATATTTGAACCTTCCTTTTTTTTTACCAACGTGGCATGTGGAGATATTGACCACTAACTCAGACTTGTCAAGACCGATCACATGTGTTCCACTTCACGCGCATGTGCCGTACAGTCTGGAAATCAAGAATAATTATTAAACTTAAGACTTTTTAACCTTTTGTTGTTGTTCACAAAAGATCATAACATCACATTCTTATATCTTATATCCATGGGACAGGGCCATTAGTTGGAATTCTATAATTGAGATTAAACAACAATGTGCAGCTCCCCACCAACTTCACATTGATAGGTGCATAAGGGAACTATTAATAATTGTCTAGGAATTTAATATTAGGATGATCTGACTGATCAGCTGCCAGAGGACAACAACTTAATACTGTCTCATGTGTGATTGGTTGTGGATAATCAATTCAAAAGCTGACTGCAGCTAAATCTACATTAACATGTATTCAGCACTACAATGAGCTGCTTGTTTGTTCTCAGGGTTTCTGTCTATGAGAGAGACTTTTTAAATTCATTGTTTATTGCCAAATATATGTAACTTAAAAACTACAGTCTTTGAAGAATGCATGACTGTAAATACTAATATACTTCTGGTAATTCACACCTCTAGACACTATAGAACTATCAGACTGCAGCACTGAATCCGAAGCAGACCAGAGGAAAGACATGATGGAAGGAGAAAGTGCTGCAGTAAATGGTGCAGACCAGTGCAAGGAGGAAGAGCTGAAAGAAGATGTCATGAAGACAAAAGAAGAGGGGAAACTAATTCGCTGGATTTCGTTAATACTTTTACGTTTAAAACTATCATTTAATTTATCTAATGCTATTTTTTCTATGTTGCTAGATCTTATTTATTTCATTTTTTTGGGTAATCGTCACCCCTTATATATGCTTTTCCCGAAGTCAATCAGTGACCTTGAAACCATTGCCAATCTTAAGGTTCTCAACAAAACAATACTTTTTGCTGTTTGCCCCAACCCCAAATGCTCGTGTCTCTACCAGATGAATGATATTAGTTCTGAGAGGGATGGGGTTTTAAAGCCTCGCTTATGCAGGAACAAATTATATGGGAAAAGGTGTAATGCAGAACTTTCTTTTGAACGAAAGCTTTCATTTGGAAAAACTAAAATGAATCCATATAAGACATATCCCTTTTTAGCACCTTCTGAGTGGATAAAGACATTTTTTAATCTGGAAGAATTCTTAAATCTCATAAGAAACCGGCCTGAACCATCAACAACTGATTATAGGGACATATGGGATGGGCGTATTCTTCAGGAATTTCTAATGGATCCTGATGACAACACAAAGCCTCTTCTGAAGGACAAAATGAATTTGGCACTTTTACTTTACCTAGATTTTTTCAATCCATTTCAACGAGCGGTTTATTCATGCGGAGCCCTGTACATGAGTGTCCTTAACATTCCAAAGAGTCAGCGTTTTAAAAGCAAAGTGGTCAATGCTGATCGGTCTAATTCCAGGTCCATCTGAACCTGAGGGTCACATCAATACTTATTTGACCCCAATTGTAGACGACTTGATCATGTTATACAAAGGAATTCACGTTCAAGTACTTGGGCCTGAGGTCATCTTCACCCGTTCTCTACTTCTTCCAGTACTTGCAGACATACCAGCCTCAAGGAAGTTATCACAATACAAGAGTCACAAGGCCGATCTTCCATGTGATAAATGTATGTTTCGGCAGTTCGAGAAAAGGGCACCAGAGGGGCAAGTGGCAAGATGAGTTTTTACACAAGCGAGAAATCACCAGCACGGACTGACAGTGAGGTACGAAAGGCAATGGGTATATATAGAAAGGCAACAACAAAAGCAAGTGCACTAGCAATGTCTCAAAAAAACAGGAGTAAAGTACAGTGAACTGGCTCGTCTGCCATACTTCAACATGGTTGAAAATTTCTTAATTGATCCCATGCACAGCATCTTGATGGGCCTTGTTTCAGACCTTGGGGAAGAACTTATAACTAATTCCAACAACTTGATGACAGAGGAGGAGAGAGACATCTTGGCAAACAGATTGAATGCTGTGAGGGTGCCCTACGATCTTGGAAGGCTACCAAAGACAATGCTCGACAAAATGTCAGCGAGGGTTGAAAGCACAACAGTGGAAGAATTTCATTGTCACCTATGCAAGGGTCTGTTTATGGAATGTAGTACCAAACAGATTTTATGATGCCACAAAATGTCTCGCTGAGGCAGTTGAACTGCTTCTGAAAGACCCCATAACAAGGGATGAAGTAAACAATATCTCTTGTCTTCTTCACAAGCACCATGGACTGTATTCAAAAGTGTTTGGAAAATTTGAGGTAAGTGTTAATTATCACATGACTCTACACATCCCTGAGCTCATTCAGAATTGGGGACCTCCTACCAGCTGGTGGTGCTTTCCTTATGAAAGACACATTGGTCTGTTAGGAGATGTCAACACCAGTGGGAAAACTGTAGAAGAGGAGATTTTTAGAAACTTTGTCATGCAGCATTTAATTGATGTTGCAAAGTTACCACTACTTGACAAGGTAAGTGAAAATGATATTCCCTCTTCTTTAAAGCCACTTATGAAACACAAAAGACAGTGAACATCTGGAAGAGGGAACAGAAGAATGGTCAGTTTTTCAAAGAATCCAAGCAGAACGTCTTTTCAGAGGGACAGAAAATATGTACATGGCACCCTCAAGAACATCTGTGACCAATTTGGACATCCAAATGACAGTTGAACAAGAGGACATAGACAAAATCGACCAAAAATGGCCTGTTAAGATGCTTCCTCCAATGAGGATCAAGCAAAGACCAAAGTTTGAATTTTACAATGAGCTGAAAGATTACATGTCAGACATCCATGAGGATTCATTTCTGTTTGTCGAGCCCCATATAGATACCTTTGCGAGATGTATGGTAAATGGTTCCACCTTTTCATCCTCTTACAACAGAACTGACAGGGGCCAGACAGCTCTGATCTATTGTGTGGACAAATTAGACAAACCTGAAAGTAAAACTGAGGTTTCTCCTTACTTTGTTCAGGTACGTTATTTTTTTACTGCACGAGTTCATTTGAAAGACTTGATGGGAGCTACTAGTATGCGAGTTCATCACCTTGGTTTTATTTTGCCAACAAGAACCATGATGCGGATAAACTCTCTGGACTTCCTGCAGTAAAGAACAGCTTTTATCATGGAGAGCACATCGTAAATGTTAGACGGTTGATACGGAGAGTGACTTTGCTTCCAGTCAAAAAGAACTATCTTCTGGTAGCTAATCTGAGTCGATGACGAGAGTACAGCTGTATGCAAATCACTAAATAGCACAATAAGGAGACACTACTCATTTACATCATTTCTGTTTACTAACGAGCACTTCATACATGTACAATAATAGTTATTTTAATTCGCTTCCAAATTATACAGTTTGGAATAATATTATAGTTTGACAGTCTCAATATATTTGATTTAATGTTTGAAATTGTTTACCACTAACAACTATATACTTTAATTGCAGCAAAATATGTAATTGTAAAATAATATGAAATAAAACAATTGGACACTGCACCCATACTGACCCTGATCCTTCCACATACCTATGAAATTACTTGGAAAGCCTAAACAGGCATTGTTCATAAAAAGGACAGGAAAAAAGGGTAAATTTTTTGCACTGTGATTACTATAGTGCATCATGAGAAAAGCTTGATTCCTGTGTTTTTTAAAGGTCTCTGTTTGTCACCTTTATTTGATAAACTTGAGTCTGGAAAGAGAAATAATAATTTTTGTTTTGGAAAAAGTCTGGAAAAAGTCTTGAATTTTGGATCCAAAACTCTGTGAAACATGCACTTTTAAAAGTAGACAAAAAAGTCTGCAAACTGAAAAAGTACCAAATGGGCAAAAAAAACCCTTGAAAATACATTTGAATGAGCTGCCCAAAATTGTCAATGTGCATCCACTCTCATTGGGCTCTTCCTACACATGTGATGTCATCAGTTTACCATTAGACATTACCGTCTAACCTCTCCTTATAAACACCTCTATAATACGGACACGTCTCTATATATTACGGACAGTTCATATTTAAAAAGGTGGGGAATCGAAAAGTTAGAAAGTTCTTTGCATTTGGTTCCATTTTGCCTTGGTTTCCCTACAAAAGTAACCAAGGATCATGCTCAAAAGTAAAATGCTTGCTCCTTGGCCACTGGTGGCAGCCCTGCCTTTAAAAAAATCAGTTGTTGGGTGTTCAGGCCTATATATAATTCTCGACTGATAGTCAATATCTATGACAAGTACAAAAAAGTAAAATAAGAGAACAAATTGTACTTAACATTTCAAAATTTCTGTGTTGTTTGATCAAGTCTGGATCTTAAAAACTCATTGTCACTTAAGTGCAACATTTTATTAAAGTTCAAGGCTGTGCTCTAAGGCTGTAACACCTAGGGTGCCCAGCATATGATTTGAATGAAAAAAGTAAGACTTTCAAGTTGCTTGAGAGCAAGAGTTATAGGAGCGGGGTGAATAGGCGAATGGATCGGCGGATTTTGAAAATATTTTTGCCCACATTTTGGATTCAAAGCAAGATTTTAACGGTTTTCGGATCCTGTAATTGCAGCGGATTGCGGATTCATCGACTTTTTAGGCCCGGATTTCGGACTTTGCGTGTAATAAAAATTTTTTTGCCCAGATTTCTGATTCAGGGCGAAATTTTAACAGCGGATTTGGCCAATAAATCATAACGGATTGGCGGATTTGCATACCCCTATTCAGCCCCCTCTTATAGGCACTAGGAGCCAATGGGCTCTGCTAGAGAACAGCTCTGATGAATTAAAATATTTGTGTTTCATTTTAATTTGGACCTGTTTGACCCCAGGGGTAATCCAGATTTCAAATAATGGGGATAATTGAATGGGGGCTATCACCAACAATCATCATAATAATAATCATATACCTTAACTGGTTTGGTGTCATTTAAAATGTTGTTTAACTCAAATGAATGATTTTATACACTTAATTACTTTGTGCATTGTTCAAATCACCATTGTAAATTGTGATTTATAGTTTAAATTAATTTACGGTTATAATTAATATAGATATTGTTATTCAATATTCTGTCAAATTTACTCCAAAAAGTATGCAAATTAGTGTTATTTTCTGCTATACAAAATGAGCTGTTTTATTTAGTTTGATGTAAATCAGGTCTTCCTGCTATCATACAAATTATAACATCAGTGGTATTGTTTTTTTGTGTGTGTGTGTGAAGGCCTCTTTGTGTTAAATAAATTACCCAACCAGCAAAAAGGCAACAGTATACAGGTAGTATACACATGTTTTTGACGTTAACAAGCTTCTGTTATGAGTACCATCACTTGAATGTAAATGTATTACCATTTTATTTATGAAGCAAAGCAAGAAAGTTTACCTTTAAAAGGTCCGGCCTGCATCCATGGATGATCACGATCTTCAACTACCTTCAGATTAAACGATTTCAACTTGAAAGTTTCAATAACATACAATAGGATTTTCGTGTTAGATCAGAGGTACACGGTCAAATCTCGTACCAAGCCCCTTTCAAGTTTTAGTTTATGCGCGCACGCTAGGAACTACAAGACTTCTTCTGCTACACTTTTCATATTTGTCTTCGTTTCAACTTCGTCTGATCCTAGTTCGGTTTATGACAGTTCGACGACCGATCTTTCACTCGTGAATCCAACGTTCCCTTTTGTTGGGCACAAGGTTATGATTCCACAAACGATTTCATAACAGCAGCGAATCGCCTGGTGATGATTCCAGACACTCACGGTTTCGTACGTTATGATTCCACGAATGATTTTGACTTTGCTGAAAAAATCATCACTTATGATTTAGCAGAACTTCAGTCATCATCACATATGATTCCGGGACAATTTGATTCGCTTGACAAAATCAGCGGGCAATTCTCCCGATGATTCTCAAGCCTGTAAAAATCATATATGCTAATTCATGTGCCGTTTAAAATTCGTCTTTTGAATTGCATCGAACGATTCCACAAGACAATTTCCTGTGCCTACAAACTTGATTATTTTTCCAACCCCATCAAACAAACTTGTCACTAAACTCACCTACTAAAATTTACAGTGATCAGTCTGATGACTTTTTACTCCACATTTCCAGGTCTTTCTCGTACCCTCGCGAACAAATTCATAAATGATCAGGTTGTTAAAACTTGGTGCAGAAACCAACAAAACAAAGATGGCGCCCACAAGGTTGTTGATAGGGAATCACCGTAGTTACGAAAATTACCATATTTGGATAAATTTCCGTTCCAGGCTCTTCTCCCTTTTGTCGAACTTCGGTGAACCGGGAAATATCAAACGATGGATGGTTCAGAACAGGACCTGAAAAGAATCGAAGATATCCCGTAAGTTTGAGTTTTTACCCCTTGATTGGATATTTTACATAGAAAAGGATGCCGAAAACTGTAACTCTAATTGATTAGGACAATCTGTCACGTTTTGTTTGCACGTAGCGTGCTTCTTCCTGTCTCCGTGGTCTTCTGAATAGGCCAAGTACGTGCCAAACATTGGATTCGAAACTCGATTGTCACTTCAACTCTATTTTCTCACATAAGACTCGAACGTTTTCTACATGTCAAAGGTGTTTCGGTAGAAAAAGAAGGTTTTATTTTAACCGATAAAGCCGTAAATATAGAATGAAACTTACATTTCTTATTTTAATGACGTAAGCTTGAATTATATTGAGCTTATTAAGCATAAATTTGTCGACAATGACATATTAACTAGACCTACGTAAACCTACAGGTATATTTAAGCTTAATGCTTGCTGAATAAGTGAAAACGATACTGAGATGAATTTCTGATTATTAAAACTGCTACGTGAGTACTGTAGAGTGAATGAGGGGGCGACTGCGTTACACGAAAACCCTGCAGTGCTCATTTGAAAAATATCCACAAGCGTATTTATAGACATTTTTTTTCCTTTTCCATGTTTTGATTTATATGAACTATATTGGTTATGTGCATTTTCAAAAGGTATGGTTTATCTGAAACTGGGTACAGATTTTGACTGTTAAGGTTTGAAAGACAGTGAGATTTCATGATATCGGAAACCAGGGTCCAGGATTGGGTGTGTTTTGTTTACCTTTTGTCTCTTTCAAGAGTTGTGCCCCACCACCTTCACTCCCTCCCAAACATTCCAGAATTACCCCCCCCCCCCCACTCACCCTTAACTCAAAGGCATCTGAATAAGCCTGGTTCCTGACTGTTCTCATAACAAGCAATAAACAACAAGCAATTTTGTAAAAGTGCTTAAAATGACATACTGTTTCCTTCCTTTTAAATTCTTCAGGTGGTACCATGATCTGACAAGAAACAGCGCTGAGGCATTGCTTTTAGATTATGGTCGTCAAGGAAGTTATCTGATTAGGCCCAGTAAGAACAACCCTGGGCATTATGCTGTATCAGTGAGGTGGGTAAATGAATTACAAGGGGGGTGTTGAGACCTTTTTACCCCTCTCCAACCCCTCCCCCCTCTCTTAAACATAAATCAATGAAAACTGTGAATCTGCCATAAAAGTCAATGGAAACCAAAAAACACAACTTTGGTGGTAAAAATAAAGGGATGGTATGTCACCAATCCCACACTAAATTAAAATAAGTCTATGGTCTTCAAAGAACACTGATTAATTACAGCTTTACAGACCTTTTGAGTGTACCCTTTTAAGAATAGTTTAACACAGTGATCTGGAAATATAATGAAATTTAAAAAATCATATAAAAATGTAGATGTATTTGTATAATAAAAACCAAAATGTTCTCAAAAAGAAATTACCTACCTCTGCTTTAAGAGGAGACTTAAACTGAAAAACCACAAATTTCAAGAGCAGCAAATCTAACAATGGCTTGAAGCAAAACTGAAAATCCCACTGTCTCCATTGTAGTGAATGACTGAAACTCATAGTAAATTTTGATAAAAATCTACATTGTAAAATAGGAAGTTGAGGTTATAAGACATGTAAATCTGAGTTGACAACAAACTCTTTGCAATAAAAGTAATATTATTTTTATACAAAATTCTTTTCAAGCACTTAATTATGATAAGAACGAGAAGGCCTAGGGCAGGTTGTGAAAAAGTCCGTGTTAGCGTTTGGTGAGATACACGATGTAAAAACAGAAAATAAATCTGTTTTTTGATCAATACCAGGCCCAAATGCTGAACACTTTTAAATAAACACCAGGCCACTAAGATCAAATAAATGCTGGGGATGTTCTTTATAAAATAATTTTCTTTGGTTTTAACCTTATCAATTAATTTAAGAACTGTTCTGATAAACTGGTTCCCATTTTGTTTAAATGTTGGGCATCACTATCCACCTAATAAATCACTATCCTGTGAATAAGTATTAGGGAAACCAATTGCATTCTCAACTGGATAGAGATAAGTGGAAGGAAAAAAGGAGTCATGGATGAGAGGACAACAGACATGCCCTCTTAACAAGAGATATTAACATGCTAACAGTAAGCTCGGATGTCAACACTGGCAGTCGCTATCAGTCCATTTTTCATTAGCTTTCCTACCCACCCAACCCATGATGTGAACGATGTCTGAAGGTTGGCCACATCACCGGGGTCTACGTCCCCTGCTCTTTTCGTACAGTGTTGTGGGTTCTTTTATGTCCAACAAGAACAGAGAAGAGTAAGTGCTGTGAGACGGGACGTACGGTTTTTTGTCCTCATCCGAGAAGACTAGAAAGTCTAACTGTTTGCAGATGTCATTACAAAGGCAGCACTTTCTTCTCAGTTATTTAAAGACCCTGAGTGTTGGTCTGGCTGGGGTTTGAAACTGCGACTTCCCGCTCAGTAGACCGGCACTCTCCCAACTGAGCTAACCAGGCATGTATATTATTCAGTGGATAGCACTTTCCATGGTCAGTTAGGTGAAGACCGTTTTGAGCTAAGTTGAAATGACGTCTGGGCTAGCAAATGCTACCTTTTAAATAACTGGGGCAATAAATTAATGTTTTTGCTAATCTTGCTGAGCATAGTTTCCTGTGTTGTTACAATAGGAGTGTTGATTCTGTGAAGCACTTTGCATTGACCTCCAATAATGGCACATTTGTCTTTGGAGTAGGTAAATTTCATAATCTCCAGCAGTTGGTGGATCATTTCCAAAATTACCCAATCATTGGAGGAGAAACAGGTTTGCTTGTAGCTAGAACACATTATTTTGGTTCCATAAAATATCAATACCAATAGTGAATACCCGTAAATTGTCAGTAGAAATTTCTATTGGGAGGTGATTTGAGAAGTCAGACTTTGAAAGGGAAAGTATTTTAAGGCTTGGTTGCAGAAACTCTATACTGTATATATAGCAGTGTACACCCACTCAACTCTCTTGATGGCCACCTCTTTAAGATGGACACCTTAGTAAACAGACACTTACAGTTGGTCCCTGACTTTCTTTACTCCCCCTTTGTTAATTGACTCTCTGTAAGATGGACATCACTGTTAGATGGACAATAAATGTTGAGAAATTATTGCTCAACATTTAAGTTCTAGTCAGTAACATTTAGACTTTTGCTGCCTGCTACTCTGGTTATCTTGCCCACTATTGTAAAACATTTTGACTGGGATGGGTTCTGTTAATCTAAACTAAGAGTATCAAGAAAGAACTTTTCTCTAACATGCCAAACAAAATGTTTTCTTTGTCAGCTTGTCTTGAAATCAAATATTAATATTTAAAATTTTTAGGTCAACCTATTACACTGGAATATCCATATTCTTCTCACGTGCCAGAACCTTCAATATATGATGAAATCAGTAGGCATGCTGTGTGTGGGTTCACTTCATCAACTTCGCAGTCATCTGAGCAGGAACCAGTAGATATGGACTGGTCTGTGAGTATCAAAAGGGCAACGTCAGGAGAATTCTGTTAGATAGTGCTTGTGTAAACTAGTAATTAACTACGATAAATTCACTTAAAAACACAATTTATGGTGAACCTCTTTGGCCTGGAACTTTTGCCTAGCACAATTAATTTTTTAGGATATGTGCTAATCCTAAGGTATATTTTGTTTTTTAGATAGCATCAAAGGAGGGTTTTCTTACCAAAAAAGGAAAAATTCATAAGGTAATAGAAAAGCTCTCTTTATTTCCACCAGTAACAATCTTTATTCTTATCAGAGTACCATAACCATAACCTGTTATGACTCATCTATAAATCACATATTCAGTTGATTTTTGTGTTGCCATTCCAAATTCATTGACACATTATTGCTGCTTGTCTGTTTCTTTCAGAACTGGAAGAGGCGCTGGTTTGTCACAAACAGAAACACCTTACAGTACTTTAACGAACGAGGGGTACGTTAGCCTGAATAAAACACTGACATTTTGTGACACCACTCCTGGTTTCCTCATGAAATGACATTTGAGGAGGTAGTGCAGAAATTCCACATTGATGACATGTCACTTTCCAAATCTGCATAGTGCTTCTGATTGGTTGAAGCAAATTTTCCAAGTGGCATGACCAATCAGAAGCAACCAATCAGAAGCACTACCCAGATCTGGGTAGTGATGTGTCATCAGTATGGAATTTTTGCGCTCATTTCTCAGACGTCATTTTGCGGGAAAACCAGTGGTGGCATCACTAAATACTGCCTGTTGTCTCATGCTAGGGGTACGTAACTTTAGTTATTAGTAATTCTAATTTAAAAAGGTTATTTACATGCGGTTGTAAAGTATAAATTTTAAAGCATGCATTTACAACACAAATAGACTGGTATTTCAACTGACTTAATGGATATCAATAGATTACATTTGTTTGCAATATTTTGTACCAGGATAAGAAACCATTAAGAGTGCTCGACCTTCGGCTGGCAGAAGAGGCTTTTAAAAATAACACTTGTGGAAAACCAAATGCATTCAGGTAAGATTTTATGTGGGTAAATTTACAGTTATGGGGGGATTATTGTTACTCTAACTTTTAAATGTGCGAATCAGATCCCAAAAAGCTACTGAGCAGGACTTTCCTGTGGTGCTGTTTATTATGCTGTACTAGGTGGCTCTAACTTTTGAGTGTGTGAATGAAATCCTATGGTATGACCGTTCAAATGAAAGCTACGGAGCAGTACTTTCCTGTGGTACTGTTTATTATGCTGTACAAGGTGGTTCTAACTTTTGAGTCTGTGGATGAAATCCTGAAGTATGACCATTCAAATGAAAGCTACTGAGGAGTACTTTCCTGTGGTACTGTTTATTATGCTGTACAAGGTGGTTCTAACTTTTGAGTAAGTGGGTGAAATCCTATGATGTAACCATTCAAGTGAAACCTTTTTGTAGTGCTTAGCATTTAATAATCACCTTTAGAAGAGGTCTTCTCCATGTCAGATCAATGCCAAATCGTCTCAACCACTAACAGTAAATTTTGTTTTTTCGACTGATGTTTGGTATCATGATACAGTTTTGGGGAAAACCAATAATACCATGAAAATATATATAATATTAACAGTGGTGACATGATGGTATTTGTTTCCTCTCTCAGCTTGGTTTTTCCAAATAGAACATTTTTCCTGTATGCAGACTCCAAGGAAGAGATGCAAGAATGGATGGATCTCTTAACATGGAAACTGGTAAGATTCCATGAAAATGCAAAAGTCTAGGTACATTTTATTAACAAGCTTGGTTACAAGTACACTATATTAATTACAATATTTTACATATACAGTCATTTTTCTTGTTGTTGTTTAAACCACCCAGTAATACCCCAAAGTATATGTGTCCCTGTTCTAGTACTTTAATGACCCATAACTCAAATGGCTCATTTAAAAATATGTCAAAAGTTATTGGCCTAATGTAGGGTGATGACAAATACACCTTTAGATCATCTGATTAACCTGGTCTGGAACAAACTGACCTAGGTTAAAAACAGATTGGCCTAAGAAACAAATTAACCTACAACAGATACATTTTCATGTATCAAACCCATGGCCAATAGAAGGGTTTGGGGAAGGTGCCTGGACTAGCCTGTTCCAGGCTGTCATATAGTATGGGTGACGTGTAAATGAAAGACACATGAAAATATGAGCCATGATCTGTGAAAAAGGGTTATCTTGGAGCCTAGAACATGTTTTTCCTGGGCAAACTAAGGGAGCCACAAACAAGCGCAGAAGGTAACCATGACAACCTTTTGAGTGGTAACCATCAGGCACGAGGGAGCTTAAGTAGCCACAATGAGGACCACAACAAAAACATCAAATGGTCTTATGAGCAAAAGAATGCTCTGCACAGGCATCATGCTTTTTAGTAAGTTTCTTTGATGTCTACTGCACGACTACCACGCGAAACCTCCTAATGCAACGTTTTATGTAGGACATGAACATTCAACAACAAATTTTTCTTTCTCTTTTTGAACCTGGATAAAGTCGTATTCAACTCTGCGACAGATCATCTACATTTGACAAATTAAGCTGGTCCAAATAGATGCAATAAAGTTTGAAAGGACGCAAATTGATTCTTTTAATGATGTTTTCGCTGCTCTTGTGGTCGTTACTTAAGTTCCCTACTGTCTCTCTGAGAACCTCAATGGAGAGTTTCACAGATACTTATTAACACACATCCAGGGGAAAAGGGAGGGTAAATCCTTATAAAACGAAGCTTAATTGTTCAGTCAAGATGACTGGCTATGGGTCTCTTTTTTATTTAACCACACTTGCCGAAGGTCAATTAAGTATGAATGTAGAACTTTGACATACTAGAGTATTACATTGCACGTATGCTGAAGGTTAAATGCATGCAGTTTGTTTCAATTATTGGAATGTACTGCATTTTATTTTATGTGACAGTCAAAGAAATCGTATCTATTTTGCAGGATAAAATTAAGAGAAATAGCCGGAGTGGTAAGTTGAAATGTTTTTATTTACACCTTCAATTGCTCTCTTGTCATGCACATTTCTTGTTGTAGTGTAACAGTATTCATATTGTGTCATCCATATATATTCTGTTTTCAGTTACTGTCTGAAACTGATTCAGATGATCTAATGAATATGTCAAGTGCAAAGCATCAGCTCTCTGGCAATCAACAAGCCTGCATTCTCAGATATTACGTACATACAGATTTTAAGAGGAAATTAATATAATGCAAGGCTTTGGAAACTCCATCAGTGCAAAATTTAAATTGTACCAATTTCAATGAAAATATTTCAAAAAGCTAATGAGATTATTAGGTGAACTGTCATGTCCTAATTACTTATGTCATGTTGTACTGAAAACAAACTTAACTTATTGTCGTAAATCTTTCGTTCTTAGAACAGCTATTGCTAGTTTTAGGTTGAACATGTAAACCCTTAGTAAGAGACATCTTATTGTTGGAGGTTAAACCTCATATTTGACTTATTTTTGTAAATAGCTGTCACTGAAGTTATTATGTTGCTGTTATTAATAATAAGTAAAGTAGGAAAATTATCAATATGCCCACTGAGTCTTGATTAAATTGTCATCAACATCTGTGGAGTATTATCTTAAGTCTGTTTTACAAGCAGCCTATGTAAAATAGTTTTTGCAACAAGTTAAGTAAGGATGTACATTTGGTATTTTAAAGCTAAAACCCGTTGTTATAAATTATAGTAATTTGGTGACATCATAATTATTATATTATTATTTTTATTATTATCATTATTGAGTGAAATGTGCTTTGAGCCCATTTCATGATATGTAGATGTCAGATAAGACATTCTTATAAAAATTATTTTATTGTAGTTTTATTACTGTCAGTCTATGTTATGTTAGTATTTATGCTGATCTGGACATTTTTTCCCTTAAAGGCTGAATAAAAATTATTTGAAAGTGATATCTGCTTTTTACATTTTTTGTTACTTGACAATATAATAAGATTATATTTACTGTGGGACAATAAAATTATTAAGATAATATTTACATTTGAGAAATAACGCACTTCACATTCACCTTTAAGTTTTCTGTTTAAAAATATCCGTCGACTTCGCTCCGTCATTTATCAAATTTAAATGAAATGTCTTCATCCTGGAAATAAGCTAAAAATAAGAGTTTAAGTCCGTAGCAAATCGATGATTTATGTACAAGACAGGAAACACAGTTGAACTGCTATTCTCGTGACAATTTTACAATCACGAAGGACTCGTGGAGAGTTGCTACAGATGACTGTTTCATTGGTTGTTCAGCCGCTTTGAGATATTTCAGCTTGCAATTTACTAACCCATGATTTCACGATAAAAGGCCAAGGAGATTGCTTGGCAGTTCATCCAGAGATTTCACGTCTTGACGAGACCCGTAGAGAGTCACTGATGCTCGCTTCCGATGACTGTTTCATGGAATTGAATGTTTCCGTTCAATTTGTTCAACCGCTTCTAGATATTTCAGCATCTAATATAGAACCCCAAGTTTCGACGTTAAAAGGGCCAAGGAAATTGCAGGGAAGTTCATCTGCAGATTTCGCTTTGCTGAATTTTCCTTCTAACCAAAGTTTTTTAATCTTGTTTGCCCCGTAGTTGCTGATGAAAATGTTTCGCCATTCACTGTTTTGAATGTCTTCCTCAACATCCTTTCGATCCAACGATTTGCACTTTCTTATCCACAAAAGATCCGTGTTGTAAATAATATCGTGCCATCTCTTGCAAGTCTGGGAAACATTACAAAGGCTTTTAGTGTCCAAAAACGATAATATTTCCAGCGTAATTTCAGGAGGAAGAGAGTCAAAGTCGGCAGACATTTTGTTTCAAACGAAGGACGATCCAGATAGGCAGATAACTGTCTCCTTTTACTCTGTCGAAGAACTTTGTTGTTGTCGAAAGCAGCAGTTTTACTGGACTCTTTGCTTTTAACTACCTAGCGATCTACTGATCGAACTTCTTCCGTGAGGCAAGATGTACAATACACACTTTCGCTTTTGTTTTTAATAACTGTTTTTACACGCGTAAACTACGTCAGCTGGAAGGGGCTTACCCCGCGAAATTGCCATGGTAACCGGCGGCTGAATCTTCTACATATGTAATGCACCTATCAATGTAATGCCGGCGGGGGCAGGGCATGGGGTGGGGATTTGATTGTCTTTGTTGTCCCTGGGGTAGGGCATTTGACTGATCTTGTTCTCCCGGGGGAAGGGATATTTGAATCTTTCTTCGCCCGACGTGGAGACATTTGACTGCCGACTCGGACGAAAAAGACTGAGACCGAACATATGTTTCCCGCTTCCACGCTTCACGCGTGCGCCATACGGTTTGAAAGGATCAGGAAGTCATGGAGGCCAATGAAAACAAGCGAAGGCTAAGTGGATTTCACTGTTTTGTCTTCAAATTTCGTTGTTTTAGCGTGTTTTTGATCAATTGAACCTCTTAATATACTGTGGTATCAAAGTAAACGGAAGTAAAGAGAATCGAAGTTGATTTTTGCAAGTACAATTGATTAGTGTATGGCTCATTCGCTACAATCACTGTAAACTTATACAACTGACTTTCTTTGTACCCTTTACTAAGAACGGTATATTTAGACTTACAAAATGTGGACTTTCTCCGAAAGGTTTATGTATTCTACGCAGTGTAACACGGATTATGGTTAGAACTTATAATTGCAGCTGTAACAGGAACATGTATCTTTGGTGATGCAGCAACGTTTATAAAAGATTGCAGAGTTTTATTTGGAGATATTTTTATTGTGCCTTTCTTAGGTTCTGCCTTGGGATTGACAGCAATGTGCAGCCTGGGGTGGGGAAATTTGGTTGCATTTGACTGGAATTATTTGCCCGTGGGCAGGGAATTTGACTGCAAATTTTTGAAAAAAGTCAAATCCCCACCCTATGCCCTGCCTCCCCCCCGCCGGCATTACATTGATAGGTGCATAATGGACTGGACTGCTGGAGTTTCATCTCCGCATGTGAAACCGGACCGGACTTGAGATCAGGCTTCTTTTTTTCTCCACGAAAGACAAATATTATACAGTCGACACCTCTATAAGACAGGTGAATTTCCCTGGAAATGAATTCTTAGGGATCAAACCCAGGTTTAAAAGAAGAAAGAAAAATTTATGGGCTCCTGTCGTCGTGTGTTTACGGCCTCCAGTTGAAAAGGTTCATAAGGGAATTTCACGTGGCTGGTCGTGCAGCGGCGGCAAGGAAATGTATAAAAAAGTGTGCTGCACGTGCAGAGTTGTTGTGTTGCTAATTAAACCTGGCCTGCGTAGCAGGCGCCAGAAATTATACCCTGCGAACAGAGGCTAAATTTTCGCCGTTTTTTAAAATTTATTTGTCCAGATTTCTGGACGGATTTGAACGGTTGTCGACAGAGGCTACTTTTCGCACGCCAGCTAACACAGCGAAAATGTAGCCTCTGCTCGCAGGGTACAGAAATTAGGGAGCTTAAGCCAAAGACGACGGCGACGGCGACGGCGACGGCAACGAAAACGTCACTTAAAGAGAGAATTCGCGCTGCTTCAAACTTTACCGCGCTCTTCCAACCTCATTCAATTCGTCAATTCGAGTTGAACTCTGAAGGACTGTATCAAAGTTCAGGGAAAGAAACAGAGGGTCGTTTTCCTGTGTCCACGCCCTCCACAAAACGTGAAATTAGGCAGTTTCACATGGTAGTCATGCGACGGCAAAGAAATGTACAACAAAGCGTGATGCACGTGTAAC